CTCCCGGGGGCCGGGTATTCTAGCGCCGCGCCCCCCCCCCCCGCGGGTCGAGTTGCGGCTGTCCGCGAGGCTGGCAGCCGGACGCGGGCTCCCGGCAGGGCTCCCGAGCGGCAGGTGGCGGGCCCCGAGGAACGCGGCCTAGGCGCGCGAAGCCCCCGGCTCCAGCGTGGCGGCCACCTGGCGCCCCCTCACCTTTTCTTCCACGCAGTTGACAATGATGGACGGGTACTTGCGGCTGAGCCAGCGAAAGAACGCCGGGACTCCCATGGCGGCGGCACAGCTGGAGACGGCGGCTGGGCGGCGGACAATCGTAACCAAAGAAGCAGCAGCGGCAGCCGCGGGCACTAACACTTCCTCCCACGTGCGCGCCGGTGACCGGAAGTGACGCCACGGCGCCGTCGCGGGGGATGCTGGGAAAGAGGCTCTGCTGGGCAATGGAGCGGCGGAGCGGGACCCCGCTGGGCTGGCGATGAGAAGTGGAGGCCGGCGGCCGACCGGCAAATGAAGGCCTCCACTCGCTCTCTGGGGTCTCAGCCCCGGAGCGCGAAGCCGAGCGCGTCCGAGTCGCGGGGGCTCCCCGGACTCTCGGCCCCAGTCCGACTCCCCTGCACAGCATCCCCGCACCCAGCAGGCCCGGGAAGCGATTCCTCGCCGGTGCGATCACATCTTCTTTGGAAGAGATTACCTCGTTTTACTTTCTTTTGTCACCTATCTCAGTCTAAGCAGATTCTAAGTAGAGTGAAAGCATTTAGAGTCACGCGTGACTTCCATTTCCTGGTGTCTCCTGGTTTTATGTCACAGTACGTATCCGGGCTAGCAAAAGGGGCATTTTAAAGTGTTCAGTTACAAATAAAATGGTTTGCCTACAGAACTCGCTTGAAATCGTTACGGCATGGAATCTAGCCGGATTTAGTATCCAATACAACCGTCTTTATCCACTTACACACGTGTAAAAGATCATTTATACACCTATGAGTATAAAATAACTGCTAATATTCTCCGGCATTTACTGAGCGCTTACAACGTGCTAAGGCGTTGACTAAGGGATTGTCTCATTTAATTATCACTTGAGCCTTTGGAGGGTACTGTAATCATCTTCATGTAATGGATGGGAAAGCCAAGTTGTAGAGAGGTTAAGTCACCTTAACTTGTGTCTCAGTTCAAACAAAGATCATTTCAATCTTCTGTCCTTGTTCTAACATGATACTTTTATCCTTTGTTTTCTGATGGCCTTAAATGCATTTTTGCAGCATATAAAAGGAGCAGTCGAGAAGAGGAGGTATTTATGTCCATTTGCTCAAGCCTGGAAGTCTCTCTCTGTGGAATCCCTTCTTGGCTTGATAAATCACACTCAATCCTTAAAAGCTCACCTCAAGAGGCCACTAGGAAAGTATTTCTCCATGCTACCGGGAAGGCATGATGTATTGCCTCCTGCTCTGTGGCCTGAGGACACTGTTTAAACTACTGTTGTGGAAATTAGACAAGTAGCTATCCCATATTTTACTTAAGAACAGCCAAAACTATTTCACATTATTATGTCTATGTTAAAAATCCTCCTTTTAATGTGGAAACTGCCCATCCTTATCAAGAATTTGGTTCCTCTGGAAGGTGCTGTATTCTTACAGGAACACACATACCATAGACAGTTGGTATAGGGATAGGCAGCTGGCCAAGTTCAGCCCAGCATTTCTGACCTTTGAACCATAAGAAATGTAAGACTGCCCCTTCCAGGTGGATGAAAGCTGAAAGATAAGAATTGGGACTTGCTAGTATGCAATACAAGGTGTAAGTCCCTGGTTTCAGCTAAATCCCTTTATTCTGGCAGTTTGGTAAATCTGTCCTTTGATTCTGTCAGTCAAAAAAAAAATATTTTTGCCCTCAGCTGACTTGGCTAAATTCCTATCCCTTGCAAAAGAAAGAGTCCTATCAAAAACAGTGACAAAATTTGCCAAGTACACAACTAATTCATCTGATTGGTGAAACTGGTTTGCATAGAAGTAGTACAACAATTTGAGTTTTTGGCACTCAGAAAAGGGGAGGGTGAAGGTAGAGGAGAAAGGACTTGAAAAGTAACAGGAAAATGTGGACTAAGTTGTTACACCTTCTCCAGCCTGGTAAAGTCTGTCAGATTCAGGCTGGATATGGGCTTTTCTTGTAGAAATCAAAGAGAATTAGTCTCACATTCAGGTCACTATGACTGGAACATAGCAGAGTTCAAGAAACAGAAGAAGCAAGGAGAATTTATTAGTTTCAGAAATCTAGCAAGAATATTAAACCAGACCTTGGGCTTCTACAGACTTTGGGCTTCTAGAGCCCAGAGATTTTGAAACATTTTTGCCTACATCTCAGTGAGGCAGAGGAAAGCCCCCCAACTGATATCTGGATTACATTGATATAAGGAATAATATGAAAAATATACAACATGTAGAAACCAGAATGTCTATGAATGTTCATAAATTCATTGTAAGCCCCATTAACATTGTAATTATCATAGAAAAAAACTGACTTTTTTTGCCTATTCTTCGTCTCTGAATTATCAAGTGCTTCTACAAGAGCCTCAGATATTTGGTCAAACAATATTCTGAATGCAAGGCTGTTTTTAGATGAAATTGACATTTAATTGGTAGAATAAAGCAGATTGTCCTCCATAATGTGGGTAGGCCTCATCCAATCAGTTGAAGTCCAGGTTAGAATGAAAAACAGCCTCCTGAGCAAGACACACACACACACACACACACACACACACACACACACACACACACACACACACACACACACGATTCTCCAAGGAACCCTGCTGTGCATATTTACTATTTTATGTGAGATAAGCTTCCAATTTGCTTCTCATTCTATATCAATTTTTCTTGAATAGTTTTTTGCCCAGTTTTTTTAATGCAAATGAAACAAGCTTAGGACCTAGATTTTAATGTAGTTTGTTACTGAATAGATGGCTATCTAAATCAGAAAACAAGATTTATGAATTAAGACAATAAGGGTATTGGTGCAAAGGAACTGATGGAAACAAACGCTAAACTTGATCTACATATGTATAAACACTATTACATATGTATAAACACTATTAAATGACAACTATTACACTGTAAGGAAGTAGAGACAGGATGTGTTTTAGAAGATAATGATGCTAGAATATTTCTTACCTACATCGAAAAAAATGAAATAGATATCCTCCCTGAACCTTTTTTAAAAACTTCAATTTAATTATAGTTGCAAATATGAAATGCAAAAGTATAAAGCTTTTAGAAGCTAATGCAGGAACTATCTTCAGATGGGGGAGATATAAAAAGCAATAACCCTAAAGGGAAAGACTGATAAGATTGACTACACTGTAAGAACTCTGTTCTACAAAAACAAAAAGACAAACCACAAAGTTCTCAAAGATAGCTGCAATACAACTGGCAAAGGCCTAATACGTAAGTAACTTTTACAAATCAATTAGAACAAGACAGGAAGCCCAACAGAAAAAAATAGGCTAAAGATCTAAACAGGCCCTTCACCAAGAGGAAACCCAAATGGTTCATATATGTGAAAAAGTGCTCAATCTTCCAAAGAATCAGAGAATTGCACATTAAAGCCTTGAGCTACCCTGACACTCGGTCCTCTGAATCCTTAGTTTCCACATCCATGGATTCCAGAAACTGAGGATCAAAAATCTTTTTTTAAAAAAGGGGATGGTTGCATTTGCACTAAACATGTGCGGACTTTTTTCCGTGCCATTATTTCCTAAAACAATGCAGTATAACTATTTACATGGCATTTTCATTGTATTAAGTATAAGGAATTAGGAATGACCTAAAGTATGCGTGTAGCTTATATGTGTGTAGGTTATATGCAAATGCTACACCATATTTTAGCATTTGAAGGAGATCCAGGAACCAGTCCCCCAGGGATACTGGGGGACGACTGTGCATCCAACAGATTGGCAAAAATTAGAAAGATGGACTATATCAAGTAGGTGAAGGTATGAAGCCACAGGAACTGTCATCTACTGCTGTGGGAGTGTACATGGGTGGAAACTCTGAACAAGTTAGATGTGATGAACTAAAGAGACATGTTACTACCCAACCGTTTACAAGCTTGATGCATATACAGCTATTTATAGGGCCATTGTCCAGACTAGCCTAAAGCTGGAAACCACCTTAATGTCTTAACAGTAGGCAAAAAAACAACTTGTAATTCTAAAAGTAGAATATTCTGCAGCGATAAAAATCAGCGAACTGGAGCTGTATTGAATACATGGACCCCAGTTCACACATGTTCAGGTATGCAGGGTGTAAACATTTAACATAAACATTAAGACATTGTTCCCGCTGGATCTGTTTTGGGGGATGAGATTAACATTTAAATCCATGGGCTTTGAGTAGATTCTCCTCTGCTTCATCCAATCCATCAGAGGCCTTAATAGAACAAAGACGGACTTCCCTCAAGCAAAAATGCGCTCTGCCCGGCAGAAGCAACTCTTCTCTGGGTCTCCGACTGCTGGCGTCCTCAATCAGTGGACTCGCCAGGCCTCCACTGTTGTGAGCCAGTTTCTTAACGCTTTCTCTCTCACATCCTGTTGGTTCTGTTTCTTGGGAGAGCCCTTACTAATACATTGGCAAGATGCTTCACCTCTCTTAAGCTTCAGTTTCTTCATCTGTAAAATGAGGATTATAGATGTCATCGGATTTCTGAAGATGAAATCAAGTGAAGAATCAAGGATACAACACCCACAGCACAGCCCAAAACGTGCCAAGCACCAGGAAGCGTCAGCCATTATATGGTTAGCTGTTGTGTTCCACATTGTTTGCCTTGAAGAAGCCTCATAAGTTTATTAGCACATTCACTTTAAAGATTTTGGGCCAGCCGGGCTCAGTGGCTCAGCCTGTAATCCCGCGCCTTTGGGAGGCTGAGGTGAGTGGATTGCCTAAGCCCGCGGGTTCGAGACCCGCCTGGGCAGCGAGACCTCATCTCTACAATAAATCAAAAAATCAGTTGGGTGTGGTAGCGCATGCCTGTAATTCCGGCTACTTGCAAGGCTGAGGCGGAAGGATTGCCGGAGCCCGGGAGGCGAGGCTGCGGTGGCCGGAAGCGGCCACTGCACTCCAGTCTGGGCGACCGAGTGAGACTCCAACTAAAAAAAAAAAAAGATTTTGGGCAATTTAATATCTAGCAGACCCTCACTTCGCCAGTCCCATCAAGGATTAACTCTCTAATATCAAGTCTGTTTTCGTTCTGTCTCACTTGTATTTCCTGCTATTTTCCACCTTGCTGAGTTGGCACTCCCAGTCTCCACACCTTTTGCCAGTTCAAACTATTCATTCTCTCTTCTCCATGAAGTTTCTCCCAACACAAGAACCAAGCCGGCTCCTGCCCACTC